AATCACCCTTTCCCGACACCTACCAAGCACTTTTCGCATAGCTGATTTTCGTCCGTACCCGTTTCCCGGAGCTTAGCCAAGTATAGGAGTTCATGACGCTACGGCACGGGTAAGACTACTATTTGGCTATTAACATACAACGAAGAGCAACATCACAACCACAAACACCACCACCATTCTTCATTCCTGCAAACAGCTTACAGCCATATTGCAAACATGAAGGAAGGTGTCGTTACGCCACCAGACTCGGAGAAGGATCTCCAGAACGTCGAAGGCTCGCTCAACACGGAGGAGGAAAAGGCAGAAGAAGCGCATATCCAGTTGAGTAAAGGGCGATTCGTACTTGTGCTCGTCGGACTGGTCTTGGCTATCTTCCTCGTAAGCAAGCTCCACAATCGTGTAGAAGACAGACTTTGACTAATCATCCTTGCAGGCTTCCCTCGACTTTGTAAGTAACAAGCTCTTTCTAACCCAGCTCCAAGGTAGTGACTAACTGAACGCGTAGACTATCATCTCAACCGCTATACCCAAGATCACCGATGAGTTCCACAGTCTTCAAGACATCGGTTGGTATGGTTCGGCCTTCTTCATCACCACCGCGGCGACTACCGCGCACTGGGGACGACTGTACACCTTCTTTCCTTTGAAGTGGACATATCTCACATCCATCTTCTTCTTCGAGTTGGGCAGTGTGATCTGCGGTGCTGCGCCCAGCTCAACAGCTCTGATCATCGGTCGTGCGATATGCGGTATTGGCGCCGCCGGTCTCTTCTCCGGCTCGTACACCATTATCGCCGTTCTGGTGCCTTCAGCAGACAGACCAAAATACAGTGGACTGATGGGTGCATCGTACGGTCTTGCCAGTGTTGTCGGGCCCTTGATTGGTGGTGCATTCACTAGCCATGTATCCTGGCGCTGGTGGTACGTTCAAGCCCTGGATATGTCTCTAATCCCACTAACACCCTCACAGCTTTTACATCAACCTTCCCGTAGGTGGTGTATCATGCCTTTTCATCCTCCTCTTCTTCGCGAATGAACCACCCAAATCTCGTCCCGACTGGCGTGGCATGCTTCGCCAGCTCGATATGCTTGGTCTTGTCCTCATCGTTGGCGCTATTACCTGCTTCATTCTTGCTCTACAATGGGGTGGTGTTTCGAAGGCTTGGGACAGCGGTGCCGTCATTGGCACTCTCGTCGCATTCGTCGTATGCATGATCTTGTTCGTGATTGAACAGTGGTGGCTTGGCGAGAACGCTATGGTTCATAGTGTCATGATCAAGAGGAGGACGATCTGGGTCGGATCGATGTTTTCGTTCTTGATCAACTCCGCCTTCTTGGTCACATTCTACTACTTGCCGATTTACTTCCAGTCTGTACAAGGCGTCTCAGCTTCGACGAGTGGTGTCCGCACGGTACCCTTCATTCTCGCTGTCACATTCTGCGTCGTAATTGTCGGCCAGATCATCACGAAGACCGGGTACGCGTTCCCATGGATGATAGTGGGAGCCGCTATCACTACCATCGGTTCCGGTATGATCTACACTTTCGATACCCACTCGCCTGCCGGAAAGTGGATCGGCTACCAGATCCTTTGCGGTATCGGTGTCGGAGTCAGCTTTCAAGTTCCTGTCATGCTGATCCAGGCTACGACGAAGGATGCTGATGTGCCATTAGCAACAGCCACACTGCTATGTAAGCTCTCCACGACATCATGTTTACACCCACATTGCTAACAACCAATGTAGTTATCCAGACCCTTGGGGGTGCTTTCGGTGTCTCGTCTGCCCAAGCTGCGTTCCAGAACACGCTCCTCAAGCAGCTCGCCATCACGGCACCTGGACTTAATCCACAGATCGTCCTGGATGCTGGTGCTTCAGAACTCAAGAGAGTTATTCCTGAACAATTCTTGCAGGGAGTTCTCGAGGCCTACGTGTCTGGCTTCCGGGAATGTTTGATTGTCGGTATCGCATTCGGCGGTGCTGCATTCCTTGCAGCTTTCGGTTTTAGATTCACCAACATCAAGAGGACGGCAGCGGCGGAGGCGTAGAGGTGGTAAATTTATGCAGTAGAGTCTTGGTAAAGAATTGTTTCTCATATGAATAAGGCGTTGGATAGGATATTAGCAACATCATCCTAGATTGTGATATTAGCATATTAGCGGGCGTATAGGGCTCTATACAGGTCCACCAAAAGCATTCCATTGGCCAAGTGCACCCCAGTCAACCGCAGCATCAGTCAAGTTTCCACTTCCGCTGGTACCAAGTCCCATTCCCAGGCCTGGAAACTCCATACCCTCGAAGCCATCCAGCCCAGGGCCAGAGAAGAGATCAAGGTCCAAGTCCAGAGTCTGCTGATCACTCGCTGGCGTGATCTCTTCCACGAACTTGGAATCCAACACTGTATCTATGACCTTCGTGAAGATTTTGCTCGCTTTGCGACAAAGGTTGTAATTTGCCTCGCCATGTCTCGCTCCGGAGTTCTCCATATGTGCGGCAGCGTCGAGGTGTGAGATAAGTACACTCAGCATACGAATGATTTCCGCACGAGAAATCTCGGCGGGAAACTGCTGGCCTGTTCGATGTTGCTCGCGCAACGCATTAGCTAGAACCGAAGCCGCAGGTACGCCGAACAGCAACAAGGCATTCAGCATATCGCGGTGAACGTCGTATGACCTGTCACGTATCGTACCGAGGGTCAGCGTGTTGGAGAGGAGATCAACCGAAACGCGCAACAGAGCCGCGTTGAGCGTCAAAGGGCTGTAATCGAGGAGTTTCTGAATCATGAACTCGTTGTACCAGTGTGTCAGGTGAACAATGCACAACATTAGACAGACTACTGAGGGTATGTCTTCTTCCCAGCACGTCTTCCAGTAGCGCATATGCTTTGGAAGCATTTCCCAGGAAGCGCGTATACGTTCGGATATGTCTCTACAGACTTGTTAGTAACAGCTAAGATGTAGTCGCAATGGGAAACGTACAATAGTTGGGCTTCGGCGTTTGCGTCGATTTTGACGAGCGAGAACTCCAGAATTTCTTCACGAAACCGTAGGGATATGTGACGTAGGCGCTGTGGTTCGTTAGTGTCAGAATTGGACTATGTCATCGGAAGACTTACGATCCAGGATGCCCTCAACCACCTTCCTTTGGTATTCCAGCCGTCCGTATCTAACGCTGCTATAGCCGAATTTAGTCTCGCCTGATCACCGGTCACTTCGCTATCGGCTAGGTCGAGGGGAAGTTTGATGTCAGTATGCCTCTTGCTTATACGAATCGGCCGACCGAGAAAAGTGGATATTGACTTGTCCTGGTTGTAGGACGAACAGAAGACTCTGCGACGTGTTTCCGCCAGCCATTCCGGTGCATGATCGCATTTCTTTTCCTGGTGGATACCCAATGCATATATCTGCGTCGATAGTTCGCCGATACGTCGCCATCCAGGTGGACCTGAGTAATGTCAGACCTATCTTCCCAAATGATGATCTGTGCTCCTACGTACCAGCATACCCACACATCATGATGGTGAATAAATAATTTTCATAGTACATCCACACTGTCAAATCGTTGACTGTCGCAAGCATCGTCGTAAGAAAAAGACAGGTTGTACTGGCGCGCAGCAGCTCATCGGCGAAGCGCGACTTCATGTCTTTGTTATTAGGATCATTGAAAATATCAGGAACGAAGCCGAATGTGAGCGACCTCCCAGCTGTTGCTAATAGAAAGCCAATCAACTCAAATCGCAGATTTTCACCCGAACATAATGTGTGAAAGTCTCCAGCTTCGAGCGACTGTGATATCGTAAAAGGGCGAGCTGTTGTCTCGAGCACTTGGCTTATAAGCTGGGAGTTGGGCGCTTTGCGTCGCAGGTCATGCTTGTCAACAACGGCTTCCAATGCGTTCACGGCGTCGACTTGGAGCTGAGCGGGTATCACGCCTGCTTCGTTGCTTGCGTTGTACCAGAGAACAAGCTCTTTGATCGAGTTGTAATGCCGAAAAGTGCTTAACACGTCACATGCCATCTGGTATCGCATAGATTTCGATAGTGTGTGCTGATGTGTGAGTTCGCGGTCTGATCTTTCTGAAGCGACGGACTCTTCACGTTCCCGTAGTTGGCCAGGTTCCTCATCTTGAGGAAGAAGAACGGCGTATGATCCAGGGCCAAGAAATCCAGGATGATAAACGTCGGCAGCAACAGCATCTGCAAGTTTGTCACCTTGCGCAGGAGATGGTGGCGCAAAGGCGACAACAGAATTCGAAGCTTGCTTTGGGGGTCGCCTACTGGAGTCAAAATCGTTACCTACAGTGGTCTCTCGGGCTGTTCGTACTTTCTCTTGGGAGGACGAGATTCGCCTGTGCCTGACTCATCGGTAGTTTCACGCGGCCTGGTGAGAGGCGCTGGATGGTAAAAGCAGCGGTCTTCGATACCACGTTGACGACATCGATCACATTTAGGATGACCATGATCACATTTTGTTTTGTTCAGTCTGCATGGTTCGCAGGATGCTGGCTTCCCATTGCGCCTGCTGCTGCCGGCGTCCCTGTTGGTTATTAGCAGATAAACAATTGCAGGCTAGGTAGTCGCCCTACATATTGACGTTCGCGCCGATGGGTACATGAAATAGTTGAAGTATCACCTATTCGTGACATACTATATTGCGCAGGCGTCAGTGAGTCCGTCATGTTGAGTGGCTGGGCGCAAGCAGGGAAAACGTGTGACGCGGGCTGCCTAAGGTGCGTTATCGATAAGCAGCGCGTGCAGTTCGCGCTCTTTCACAGCCACCACATATGCATACTATTACACCTGCATCATAGTAACAGCCCGAACTCAGCCTCAGCCTAATCTGGAGATGCTCAATATGGATGCATCTCAACATGCCATCTGGTCAATGGATGACCATCTCCATCCTCTTCGTGAATGCCCCAGACGAAGCGTACTCGTTCGACGACGACGATAGCAGGCTACACTGAAGTCTTCAAGACATGTCAGCTCCTACTTCGCTAATAATGAATCATATATCTTCTCCCTCTGAAATTCTACGAACCGATCTCGCACGCACACTAGGCTTTCCCAACTATCCACACGATGCCGCCGCCGAACCGTACCTCAATTACCTTACGAACCGATGCATTGGTAGTGATACAACGGAGGCATATATCGAGCTACTCATCATGGTAGTCAAATACTTTGACCGAGCTCCAGCTGATTCGTCGGCGATGAAGAGTGTTCAGGGGTTGCTAGATGTTGTATCTTCATCCCCTGCATACGCACAACGGAACCACGAAGACATCGAGGATACTGTGCTATACGTTATCGGCACTTGGACGCTGCTTCTGAGCTCATTTGTTCATCTGCCGATGGCTGGTGGTCTTCGCAAGGTTACGGCTACCTACAACCTGCGGACTCAAGGCAGCGCCTATGGAAGCCAACCGTACAGAGAAGACTTGGTTGGATTGGTAGTGGGCAGTGGCCTACTGCCAGTTCCCATTCACTATCTGCCCGTCGACCACACAATACGCAAAGACGGGTCGTTGCAGACTGCTGCAATGCTACCGCCCTTCCTACGACCATTGTCAGCTTCGTTTTCGACCAGCCAATTCGACGCTGGAGCGTCTGCCTCTACCTACATCGATGACGACCTACAAAGACGTGTGTCATTAGGCTTTCTGCACGACTTGGATTCTTTGGAATCCCTTACAATCGACGCGACGCGGCTCAATGCCTATACATTGAACGTCTTCGGAGCGGTGGATGTTGCATGGACGCACAATGTTTCCAGGCATCTGTCGCTATCGAAACGTGACGGGCGACATATCCTTGAGATCTTCAGCTTGCCATGTGCGCTAGATGCTACTTCCCTCAAGCTGGGCGGCATCACCACTGAACTTGCTCAAGAGATAAGGGAGACGTACGCATTGTTGTTCAACGCCTCACACGAAATTCCACGCCATGTAAAGCATGCGCGAATCTTGGGTATTGGATCCTTTTGCTGGTGCCGTTACTGCTCGATGCGACGACACCGCAATCGTGCCATTATGAGTTACAAGAGATTCACTCAACACCGGGCGCCAGGCGCTAAGAGAGCTCAACGAACACACAAATCTGAGTATGACCCTTTGCTGTTTGAATTGATGACCAGTGAACCCTCTGACTGGACACCGGATATGTTCCCTCATCTCTGGGCTCGTATTGTGATCTTGGAGGGGCATCTCGAGGAAGCAAAACCTTGGAGCGTGTGGGTTCTGTTCCGTGATCGCAGAGATACTCTACAGTTCTGGACATTCTTGTAGGTTCCTCAAAGCTACTTGCTTCCACGAGACTGACGTGATACAGCTTTGCTACCATTGTTGTTTTCCTGACGGTGCTGCAGGTTTTGCTTATTGTTGCACAGGTTGTAGGGTCCTTCTGGCAATGAACAAAATCGGAAGGCTTCAGCCTCGTATCACGGGCGGCTAACCTACATTCGTAGGTTATGCGATCACAGGCGCCACACGCTCGCTTATATGGTGCCGTGAGTGGTCACGATAAAGAGCACCACGGACATGCAGCTTGGCTTTTGCTCAGCCTTGCTCTCTCTTCTACATATCAGAAGACAAACAGTTGCCTGCATTTGTCGTCCCATTTTTTCACTATCTTCTCGCGTGGCGTCATCCTGAGGAAAGTGTGATGGCTGCATGTTCAAGTTCATGCTAGGTATATCAGTATTATGCAGCTCTCACCTGAAGGCGCGAGCTATCGTCAAAACATATTGGATTATTGCGCACGTTCATATACTCGCACGCTTTTCTTCGGTCATCATTATAGATTTCTTGCAGAGCTGCTCCGAGCCGACGAGACACATTTACCGAAGCAGTACCATGACCTTGAAGCTTATTGTCTCGCACATCTGTGTGTGTATGGACTACCTTCCCATGGCGCTGAACAGTACCCTCGACGTGGCTACAACTACCACCAATTGCAAGACTTGGTCAGTATACCATCTCCAGGCAGAGGCCAAGGACAGGTTCTTTTTCTCAATGGACACCTGCCTGGTTCGTGGATATCTGAGGTGGGCGCAAAATACGGCATCGCGCCTGAGTTCTTTCGACGGCACATTCATCTTTGGCGCTCGACTCACGGGCCCGTTCTCCACGCTATCGCTAGAGCCCCATCTGCTACTTCCAGCAAAGGACTCGTGCTACGTCTCAACACACAGGGATATTCCATTAAGAACGAACTTTCTATGAATCCTTCGAGTGGCTTCGTCTTGCAAGCGCGACGAAACCTTCTTCCTGACGACATCGAGTGGATGCCGAGACGTTTGCCTGCAGCCCCTGGTGGTTCATACATACGAAAACATACATACCTAAGCAACCTCCAATTTGTTATCGAACAGGATATATCCATCACCATTGAGACAAATGGGGATGGATGGACTGGTAAGAAACCATCCGAATATGAATATTGTTCTCTTCTTATTTACCTGTGCATCAGCAATCTTGTGGACAGACGTGGGAAGCCGAGATCTCTCCAAGAGCCATGAATATCATCATTTTATCGAACATATGACGGCGAACACTAAATCAGGACATCGAGACATCCGTCTGTTGCCTGTAAAGGTACTTGGGATGGAGTCAGCAATCAAGCACCCATGGCCACTACCTATTTTCGACAGCAACGACCCCAAGGCCACTGATGGTTCACTCTTCCAAACAGCTTCCCATCTGCCTTCTGAGCTCCATGTCATGCTTGATGATCATGAGATTGCCGGTCGGGACCCTCTGTACGCTCTCGCGCCCGTACTCCTCTTCGCAGCTGCCTCGGAAAACCAATTGCTTTCCGCTCTTCAGAGATGGCACGACATCATTGTTTCCACCAAATGGGATCAAAAGCTCTCGACCGAACACCTCGAACAGCTCATACTGCACAAGAACCTCTTGGATGACCATGCCAATCGACACGAAGACGTCCTACGGTTCATGAAGTCACCCATACTAGCTCGGTGGACGACTAGCCTTACACCAGATCAGAATGCTGTAGCCCAGGAATCTAAAGATGCAGTCACAGCCGATTATCAATTTCTTCTATCACGATATCGACAGCTCTCAATACACTACCAGGAAGCAATATCGGTGCTGGTCAGCGCTACTTCGCTTGCGGAATCGCAGAAACAGATCACGCTCGCTACCCAGGTTACGAAGCTTACTATACTGGCGACCATCTTCCTCCCACTTTCGTATTGCACTTCGATATTCGGCATGAACTTTATTGAGCTGGATCACTTGAGTATATGGATCTGGGTGGTCGTCACGGTCTCTGTTGGGCTTGCCACATTTGCTGTATATCAGTGGGATGAGAGGCACAGATGGTGGGAGCTCTGGTCTACTCTTACCAAAGCTGGGCGCGTGCGCTGGACACGCGGTAAACCAACGACAGTATAGGTATCGCAATTTCAACAAGAGGGCGACATTCGACAGATAAGATAAGTGTCGATGCTTGAACGAAAGGTTGCTATCAAACTATTTTGTACTTTTTCAGCTCAGCAGGAACTTCGAATGCCCCGTAGAACGCCACTCTTCCCAACTGCAATCTCCGCTCGAGCGCAGGACCTTCCATCTCGAAATTCTGTACATGACCACTGCGCTGCACGAAGCTTTGGAAGCCCACAACGCCCGGGCCTTGGGTGCCGTCTTCTCTTATGCCATCTGCATAGAGCGCGGTGCCACTTTGACCGTTGGGAGGATCAAAGTCAGGAAACACACGATACAGGAGAGCGCGCGACACGAGATCCTTCCATGTTGATGCATCGTGGTCTTTGAGAGTCTTTGAGCCACCCGCTGCGGCCTTTTGGTTAAGAAAAATGCCTTCCCCTACAACGAGAACATCCGATGGTCGGCTAGATTTGATGCTCTTCGCTGATCGGGAACCTTCAGCATCCGCTAGAATCTTGACACTTGATGATTGCTGGCGGAGCGAAGCCCAAGAGTCATGATTGAGCCACCCGAGGTCCGGTATAGGAGATGTAATGTCCTTTACCACCATGGGCGACGTAGGTTTAACAAGTGTGACATCATGACGAAAGCCGTTTGGATATATCTCTGCCTCTTTATCCAAGCTTTCGTAGATTGTGCCAATCTAAAAAACACATTAGCCTTAGAGTATACGAATCGTGATTGTTGTATATGACAATGGTGGGCGTGTGCACCCCACTAACCTTTCCGCTGCCAGCCCATATCTCAACGTGTTCATTCCAGTCATCGTCTAGTCTCCGATAGCGATCATCATGTTTCCGACCAAGTAGAGTGTCACGGTGCGATTTCGCAAGAACTGCTTCAGTGATAACGTGAGTAGACATCACTATCAGCGAAATGCCATGTTTTGCTACTTTGAGACTGATACGCCCTGAGAACCTTTCCTTCCTATGGTTGGACAATGGGCGAGCCTCTATGAAGTCGTTGAGCTTCAGAGATTGGTTATTAGCGAGAGATTGAGCGAGCGGGCGAGCGGGCCAAGAGCTTCCTGAAGCGCTCGAGGATCCGAGCGAGGGCCCAGTAGGCAGAGTTCTGCTACTCTGCATCTTGTTCGGTAACATAGTCGGCTCAAGACTCTGTTCGATGTAACAGACCTTTAGACCGCCAAATTTGTGTGGAAGGTGTGAGGACGCCCAGCTGGTATCGAAGTCTTTTGGCACAATGACTTGAAGTAGACCGTTCAACAGAACATAGAACCCCAGACTACCTTGAAAGGTAAGGAAGATATCTCTCACAGCTTCCAGTGGTATCTTAGCCCGACTATCGATAAGTGATGTAGCTCGCGGATCTGGTGGTGGTGCTACTCCGCCAGTAAGAGGCCACTGATATTCCACCGGAATCACCACTGGAGCTTTAGCGATGGTGAGAGGATAGTGCTTTGGTTCATCTGGTTCCAGGGGAGTACAACTCCAGCACCCTTCCTGCATAGCAGATCTGGCGTGCGCGGCATGGTACTCGACATCCCACATCCAGTCGGCAGGAAGCCGGGATCGAATGCTTGCCCAATTTAGAGATGAAGATGTTTCGAAAGGCATGTAGTGAGGTAGCTTGTGAGTCTCCTCACTGGGTGTGTGAGAACCGAGGTCTGTCTCGTTACTGCTATCCGCCCCCAGCGGCAAGCCCCCAGGGTTCTCGGTTGTGGGTGCTTCGCCCATGGTTGCGTCGTCTGCAATGGCAGTGGGTGTGGGTGGAGCAGAATCATCGTGCTCGATGGTTTTGGAATGCGTGAGCTTGCTTGGAGTTCTTGTGTAGATGGACTCGGAGAGTAATGACGTCTCTGTAGCGGTGCGCGCGAGCTTTCGAGGCGTGTTGTGCAGTCGCTCAGTCTCAGCCTCTGAATCATCTTCGTTCATGTCTAATGGCTGAAGAGTGTCCGCGACACCATCAGAGGAAGAAGTTTCTGTCTTTGTCCGCTTCATGACCAGAGTTGCTAACAATCAATCCAAACTGATGAGACTGACTGACTGACTGATTGCTTGGCAGTCAGTTCAGTGTCAGTTTAGAGCTCTCGTCTTATCAGTCAGTTCAGTTTAGAGCTCTTAAAC